TGATTTCAAAACGTTCTACAGGTCACAATAATGACCGCTGCCCTTTGGCAACGCACTCTCTGCTTGTAATTCAGATGTGTAGATAACTCCGCAAGTAGTTCCGGCCACTTTGTCGTTAGCCAGGCTCAATAAACGCAAATAGCAATCAATCAACACATTTAAATGTTAATCGGAGAATACTTTATACATATACAGTCTTAATACACATGCACAGAGGTTTTCAGAAGCATCTGTTGAGGTTTTCATGACAAAATACTGTAACTGTTTTAATGCAAGAAAAAGCAATCGCAAAAAACCCAGAAGTAGATTCCGGGACATTTTAGGAACATTTTCAGAGGATCGAATTATTGATTTATGTTAAGTTAATGTTTGGGTCATTCACCGCTGATGTTCAGAATTATTTTTTCAGTTTTCATGCAGTTCGAGAGAGTTCTGGTTTGGGAGTTGCTAGCCTAACTGTTACTAGCTTAACTGCTACTAGCCTAACTGTTACTTGCATAGCCACGGGAAAACCTTTGGGAACTCATTTATTTTCTGTCATTAAATAAACCTTTCGGCATTCTTAAGAGTGGACTGAAGTTTATGTTGTGTGTCCGGTTGGTACAAAGCCGGCTGGTCATAATCGGAAAATAAGTACCTTTGCGCGTCGGGTCCGCTTCGGCCTGTCGTTACCTATTTTCGGATAATGACCTGCCTACTATACATTATCCCTTGCTTATGACTCTGTAGTTTACCCGTACTTCAGATTTATATTATTGACATGGGGGCGACAGTAGCTCAGTTGGTAGAGCATTGGCCTTAAGGCCAGAAGGTCGTGGGTTCAATTCCCACCTCTACACCTTCTCCATCGACTCCCACTGATGACTGCTGTCGTTGTGTCCTTGGGCAAGACACTTAACCCCACTTTGCCCAAAAGCTCCCACTGAAAGATCAAGGCTATGCTCACACTCAGAGAGCAGCAGTCCTCCTGTGGACTCATCACCTGCAGAGGGTCAGTGAGGGGCTGGTGCTATGAGACTTGGGTGGCATCTCTGATTGCCATCCCCCTGACCCAGAAATGGATTAAAGGGTAGAAAATGGATGGATGGACATGATAATCTTTAAAACCTGTAATCTGTAAAACATTTGTCGACACTTCCCACAGAGAACAAGTCTTTTAAGGAGAAGTTATTTAGACTGTTGATGATTTGGTTATCTTATTTGTGTGGCTTTTGCTTGGCAGCCAAAACTGACCATCAACGTTCCTAGTTGGTTCTATGGTTGCTAGGCTGTTGCTACCTAGGCCTACGTTGTTTAGCTCCAGATTCTCGCTTCTGCAGCCTGTTCGAGCTCTAACTGGCTTCTTCTGCAGGCAAACAACGTAACGTCAGAACTTTTTTGGTCCTCTCCTTCTATAGAACATAATGTTATACACATATTTAAAGGTTTGGATTTGACCAAAATTATTCAGATTCATACAAGAATTTAAACCAGGCCACAGCTGTGTTTGAGATCCCCAGCACACTCACTAAGACACAGTTAGTGTAAGTCCATCTGTTTTGCCAAGCTGAATGTGAGTGAAATATTCAATTCTCCATGTGCATTATTTCTCTGTGCTAATATGGGTTGTGCATTATTGATGAAGCTGCTGCCCCACTGCCTCCTCTGGTGCATCGGTCACATGGACCAGAGGGGACAGGGGCGGAGGCCAGGGCTGGACAGGGGAGCGAGAGCTGGGTGAGCGAGCGGACCTTGGACGTCCATTGAATATGAATGGAGGAATGAGCAATGAGCAGAAGTAGACAGTTACAAATGAGTCCTTGATGAGATTTGTGGAGATAGACACAGGATTAATAAGTTGTTTTAGATGATATATTGCTCATGAGTTTTGGGTAATGACCGAGAGAATGGGACCGTGCATACTAGCGTCGAAATGAGCCACTCCTCCACAGAGTGGCTTGGCGCTCAGAGATAGGTTGACAAGCTCGATCACATGGGAGGAGCTCAGTGTAGAGCCGCTGCTTCTCCTTATCAAAAGGAGCCAGTTGAGGTGGCTCGGGTATCTGTTTCGGATGGCTCCTGGACCCTCCCTGGGAAGAGACCCAGGGGAAGAGACCCAGGACAGATGTCGAAGGGACTATGTCTTTCAGATGGCCTGGAAACGTCAATTGCTCCTATTTAAATGTTTATGGCAATAAAACTGTACTGGAAGAAAAAAATCTGTTTCTTTACTTGAATACAAACATTATCATTGTTGTAAAATTAATGAATTAAATGGAATAAATATACATAATTTATGCAGATGTAAATTTAAAGTTCCCACAAACTTAAACTAGTTGTTCAGTGTTGCATGTTATGTATCCATGAATAAAGTGGTTTTCCATTTGAATGTTCTAGAAGCTTCATCAAAACTATGGCAGATGCCAGTTAATCACAGTCTCCTAGAATGCTTGGATGGACTCGTGTATTGACTTCTGGATGAATGGGTGAGTGGCTGGTTAAACAGTTGAATGAAAGGAGGCTGCCGAGGGGCGAGTGCCAGCCTGTGTGCCCCAGGAAGCCAGACAGACTCCAGCACTGTTTACTGAGCATAGAGCAGCCCATATGCTCACACAACTGCAGATATGTAATATCACAGTATTTTCTCATTTTTACTTTGTATCTATCTTTCATATACAAATGCAACAAGTTAAAATATGTCTCAAATCACTCTGGTAGTACTGGAATTAGGGTGTTGGTTTGATTATGAATAAATGCATGTGTGAAGGTCAAAAGTTCAATTAGTCATCAGCCATTCTGGACCTAAACCAAGACCAGGCCAGATGGATCCACTAAGCAATTTCTTCATCAAAATTATCCAAAGGATGTCGCAACAGGAAACCATTGAAGACCACAATGATTCTTAGGCAATGCCAAGTGCGCTCCAGCTTTTTGCATAATCATGTATTATTTCCATCCTGGAGATGTGAAACAGAACAATAGTGGAGGGGGTAAAATGGCCACAAAAAGTTATATTTGGTTTATTAGCCTTTATATATAAGAAGATTGTTTTATTATTGTCATTGACTTGGCTTTAAAAATGCTCAAATAAAGAACTGTGCTTTGTAAGTTCAAGGACTCATTGATAAATGTAGCTGTTATAGTTTGTATTGTAGCATGATGTATGTAATAATATTGTTAGTGTGTGGTCTGGTCAAATATATAATTGACTTTTGTAAATCTACGCCTAACACACAATTGGAAAGCATCACAATTCTAAACGATTCTAAACTCAACGTTCAAGGCAACGTTAACAATCCAACACGTCCAGACAAACTAGTTGAGAATCAATGTTTAGAAATCCAAAGTACATACAGTTTTATTAAAAGTATCATTCTATTAGCTCGTTAATCTTTACGATGTATGTTGGCTGCTGTTCAACTCATGCCATTTCCCAATCACGTAAGATTCTGAATCGCTTGTAGTTCAGTTATTCACAGTTTCTAAGTGCCTAAACTTTCCTGTAATGAGTGTTGTTTCTCTTAAGCATGAGTTGAGTGCAAACCTAAGCTTCCCTCTCCTGTTAGTGTGGATTTTTTTCCACATACATTGATAATGTGCATGGTGCCAGAACGCAGGTGGTAACAAAGCTCTTAGCACTTCCCGTCTAGACTCTGATTGAGGAGAGCGGTGGCTGCTGACGAGTTCCTTTCACAATATGGGCTGAAGCACAACGCGACGATGGAAACTGCACTGTCGGCACAAAGTTGTACGGTATAGTTCATCCACTAAGCAACAACAGAGACTTTAACTACTGCCATAAGTTAAAGTAATAGCTGTGTGATTTCAGAGCCGTATGCTAATGCAATTGATTAGAAACTAACTATAAAGGCACATATTTTATATGGTAGTTAATTACGTGTTGAAATTATTGCGGCCGTTGGTACACAAGCAACTCAGCACAACAGAAAGTTGTGATAACGCACAAGGGGGTTCAAACCAAGTTTCTGAAGTTGAACTTGAAATGAATATAGATAGATAGATAGATAGATAGTATATATAGTAGTATATATAACATTTGAAAGGCTTACAATTTTCCCTTTACCAAGTAGTTTCTTTAAAAACCAGATCTATAGTGCCACACACGTAATTTTCCCCATTCTTGAGAAAATTATTATTATTATACAAATCACCTGCCAATAACAAAACATGTTGATTTTTCTCTCCAGAGGAATACAACTTTCAAATTACATTGGCTTTTTGTACAGTCTGACCTACTTATGTACCCCTACAATTTTCATTCCCCAACCTTGAGTTTGAATAATAGCTGTCCTTTAAGCCGAGTGTCCACTGCACAGTTTTGTCTGTCTGCGACAAAGGATTTATGATTGCGAGGAGTTTGTGAATCGTAGCCAAACATTCTCGCTCACATTTAGCCTCACAGTGAGTAAACTTAGAACTGCTGGACGAGCTGAGGATGTTCCTATACAACTTTTTCTCTTACAAAGTCGAACGTTGCTGCTACTAGCTTCAGTTGTGTCCGCAATTCATTTTTCGACACTCACAATGTGTAATGGATCACCGTCAACTCTTATAAGACTGTGAAACAAAAACTGGGATATAACCTCAGCCAAAATTTTTTGCAGAATGAGATATTTGAGACGTTCCTTGACGATGAAGGAGGGTCTATGAACAGTGACAATCCGGGACATTATTAATATTTATGGACATTGGTCATCCCACTCCCTATTGACCACTGGCTCCGATGTGTTTGTTATTATGAAATTCCCTGTGTTGGAACTATTTGATTCTCTGATCTGTTGTTGGTGATTCGACAACCTTGAACAGTCCTCCAAGACAACCACAGTTGAGATTTAGGCCATTACAAACATAAAATTGCTTTGAATTTAAACAAATATTCTGTTTGATAAAAAAATAAACACTGTAGATCCATGTTTAATAATTCCCTAAAGTGTAAAAAACTTGTCTCTTTGTTTCACTAGAGTAAGCAGTTGTCGTATTTGTGTATTTGACGGTCTCACCGAAGTCTGCGAGTTTGAGTTCTCCGGTGTCGCTGATCAGCAGGTTCTGAGGCTTCAGGTCCCGGTGAAGGATGTACCTCTGGTGGATGTAGGACAAGCCGCGCAGTAACTGGTACAGGAAGAGCTGCGGACAACAAAACATGATTCATTTTATTGATTTGAGCAGGACAAGACGGTTCTGGGAGTAAACATAAAGGCTTGTTTGTCTGCGTGCGGAGGAAGAAGTGTGGACAGGGTAATCAGTCATCGAGGACCCCTGTTTCAACATTACTTAAACACATATCACTCTCACCAACACAGATGAAAAAAGGGTGTTCTATTTTACATGTTTTTTTTTTTTGGTTTTTTTGCCGTATGCCATAGGATATGCTTATATTGTATGCGTTCATTTAGATTAGAATTAGAAGATCCTTTTGTTGTGCCACAGTCGTGAAATGTCACAAGTTACAGAACAGTTGGAAAGACGATGACACAAAAAGAGTGAAGTGAATTACTCAATACTGTAAATCTTTATCTCTAATAAAAAACAAAGTATAATGTACAAGTATAAACCTAGTGCACAGACATACTTGAAGTTTAACACCTTTAACCCAATGAACAACATAACTCAACTCCTTCGAACTCATTTGCACCACTAGTTTGGTCGCATAGACATGGGCTTAGGGTTTTAGGACTATATTTGGAGCAAAATTGTAAGCGGATAGTGTCAACAATGGTTGAGACGGGTGGAAAGTAGCATGGTGCTAAATCTGGTGCAGCCATCTTTTTAATGCAAGTGCACATTGTCCTTAATACATTAGATCAAAATCCAAAAAATAGGACAAAACATACAGCATTAATTGTAAATATTCCATCTTGTTCCTCTTCTTCTGCTACTAATACTACTACTAATGCCACTGTGGCGCCACCTACTTCTGAAAGCCAGACCTCGACACACCTCTGAAGCTCAGCAGGACAGGGCTTGTTTGATACTGGGATGGGAGACCTCTGGGAACACCTGACTTTAAATGTTGTTGTGTCAGGCAAGACCATTCACCCAAGTTCCCGAGTAGAAGCTTACCACTGTCCATGAAGTGAATGAATAATGACAAAATGGATTATTACTTCTAGTACTACCACTACAATCACTAGAATAACTTAATTGTGCAACTTAGTATATAAGTATTAGGAGTGCATTTACTCTTGCACATAAACCACACTGAAATGAGCACAGGCAGCTACTAAAACAGTGGACACCTTTTATTTAAAGGTGCTTGCATGTTTGTCTTGAGAAAGTTACCTAAAAAATACACATCCTCAATTAAACCTGCAAACATCAGGGCAGTTATAAATGAAAACATGACCTATCACGACCAACAGCCAAATACATCATCTCTTCACTACAGCATACCGTAAAATCAATACAAAGCCATCAGTCTGAAAAATAGCTGTCATTACGCGGTGTTTGCACAATTGAGCAGGCTTCAAAAAATGTGACAATAGCCATCTGCTTCTCGCGGCCCAACTCCTCCGAACACTTCATTGACCGGTCTCACGGACTTAAACTCGAGTTGACCCCTTGTGGTTTGAATCTTGGCTCCTAATATTTCCCCTGTAATAGGTATGCTGATTGCTTATGGTGAAAAGTGCGGAGGCGTGGCCGATCTAATCAAAGGGAACATATGGAGGAGCTGGGAAGAGATGCTTCCTGCTTTTTCATCTGAACTGCTGAAAATCGATTAGCCCTACAGTAGCGTGACACAAAACAACAGGGGTGAGCAACAACTGAGCTCCAGAGAGAAAATACAACAAAGAATACAATGCTTTATTACAATCAGACACTATCGACACAGTCTACCTTACTTTTATGTCAGTGAAAGCAGAGATTTAGACTTTTACCCACAGATGATGTCTATGTAATGCAAATGATGGAGGGCAGAAACATATGCAACTCATTAGAATTCATGCATTTTTGCTTCTCTTTTGTTTGTTTTTATATCAATTGAGAAAACCAAATATTTGCATACAAATGTTAAGACTACCACTCACATAATCAGAGTTCTTTTCAATAACTCTGAGAACCTTTCCATCCCCCAAATAACACCAACATCTGAATCAGAATTGTTTTTACTGCCATTGTAAGTAACAGGAAATCACAAACTAGGAATTCACTTTGTTGCAGAACATCAACAAAAACCTCCCACAGTACTCCTGAAATGCTTGTTCCACTTGTTCCCATAGACTGTAAACATTAATGGACATTGTCACTCCTATCTTCGCCATTGAAACTAATGTGCCATCACTTTTGCCTTCTATTAAGGGATTTTTTCAAAATGGCAGCGGGGGAAGAAAATGGGAAAAAATGCATTTGCGCATGCGTTAGCTGCATGAGCCCCGTTTACAAGTGCCTTCTGAAGTCGACAGCAGCTAAAGCTAGACTGGTCCAAAAAATATACTTAGCATTGACAGCATCTGGAACGTAGCGTTGGGCCAAGAGCGACTTTTGGACCATCCTGTAAAGCCGTTTTCAAGAGGAACGAAGACGCCATAAAACATCATTGGGTAATTTTCTTTCTCTTTGCCCCCACTGTTTGTTCCAATAGCAGCCGATGCTAACTTTGAGCATGTACCACCGAGCACAGCCGTTTGTCTTGAATTGGCAGACATCTTGGATCCCTGGGCTTACGCTGAATCTTCTTCCTGAGAGGCGCGAAAGTGCACCACTGTGCAAACATCACAGTGGAACAAATACAATGTAATGCTATTGTACAGAGTAACCTTCTGTTTCTTTCTAAAAGATTTCACATTTCAAATCGATGGGATTCAACACAATTGTATCTACTCAATTGTCAGTGGCACAGAGGTTATTTTCTGCTCTTTTCTCACAATTAAAGCAGAAACATGTTTTTAATGGGTGCGAGGGAGGGCATAAGGTCCACCTCAGGGAAATACATGTCTGCAGGTGTATTTGTGGAGGAGATCGATACTCATCTCTGTCTTGTTAAATATAATGCTAGCCTCCAGCTGTTAGCTCAGTTAGCCATTACCCAGAATGACGAGGGAAGTAGTGAGGACAAGGACGAAACAAAGCCTCCTGCCTACAGCTCATGCGTTTAAGTATTTACTTCCTTAGTTTGAAGTGGCTGTTGTAAAGGAACTACAATTACTACAATTACAGTTAGTTTGATGAACAATACGGCTTATATTATAATTTTTACTTGCTCTGGTAAATGGTGGTAGCAATAAGGAGAAATGTGCAGTGTTGTACAGACCTGACCCCCAGCAGTGGCCCATCCAAGTACAAGCAGCAGGCTTTGACACATAGGTATGGCACAACCATACCCTCCTTTAAAAAGGAAGAAAACTACTCTGGCACTCTGTACTTAGGTACACCAGTGTTCTTTATTTAAAGATGAGCAATGTTTCGGACATGGGCCTTCATCAGGCAAATGAAAAACACTGGTGAATGCAAGTACAGTGTGCGAGAGTTCTTCCTTTTCAAAGTTGGCTCAGCTGTGCGCAGCGCCACGCACCTGTCATAAAGTCGGATATGCAAAGTTTTCCGCTTTTTACTAAACCCTCCAACATGGAAGTTTTGGGGTCAATGGGGCCACATATCCCGTGCATAATGGTACGGGTACAGGGTACGGGTTTACACGTTTTGCCAAATGATTTTAATGAAAGTGTGTGACTACTAAGGTATGCACAATCCTCAGTATTGGCCCTGTTATCATTATTTTTTTTTTTCCAGAATGATTATGCTGGACAAAATCATTTGATTATCATCAAAGATCTCCACAGTGGTTTGCTCCAGTCCTCTACTCTACCATTTATTTTCATTAAAATCATCATAAAACCATTAGAAGGAACGTTTGAACTTTCGTAAGTGAAATCTAACATCAAAAACTTCTCTTTAAAAAGATAGTTTTAATGACTACTGCAATATCATATTCATTCACACAGGGAATAAAAATGCAAGAACGCACTTTTGCTGACAAATCAGATGAACTGGATGAATGTAAATTGCAGTTAATTATATCAGAACCTAAATTAAATTCTGAGGAAGCACTTTCTCTAAGTGCGTGAGCAGCTCGCAGGCACGGCCATCCACAGCACAAACATGCATTTATGCACGTCACACTTTTTCTGCTCCTGTCAAATAAGTCTCTCTGCTCTGATTTACATTTTGTCTCATTTCCAACATTCAAAAAATTATTTTGTCTTGAAAAATATTTGTTATTAGATACACATTTTGATGCTTAAAATTATACTATCATAGATGCTATTATAATTTATAAAGATAAATTACCTTTATTTAAATAGGATGGTCTGACTAAGATTCAGAACTTCTTCCAGGGGAGTCCTAGCCCCAGACATGGGAAACCAGAGCACCTGGAGAAAACCTATGCAGCACAGTGGAACCCATGCTGTTGTTGCTGTGAGAGGGTCAACTGCTGCAGCACCACTGCAAAGACAATACTATCTGGTAGAGGTGCAACGGTTCATCACTGATCCGTGATCCGTTCGGTTCAACGTCTTCGGTTCGGTACAGACGTGATCCGCGGTTTGATTTATGAAAAAAAAGTTGTGCGCACGTTATTCAGTCCACACACAGCGCGGTCATTGCGAGCGGAGGAACGGAGATACTTGAAAGCCCTGCGTCATTTAAATCCCAGTATGAGAGCATTTTGGCTTCATTGTAACTATACTGATAATTAATATTCGACAAAACTGTCACGATGTGTAAGCACTGTGGCACAAGAAAGACATGAGTGAAAAAAGCGTCTCAACGACCACCTATTGTCGCGGCATTTAAGCAGCTCCTTTACGCAGCTCCTTTACGCACAGTCAGACCGGGCTAAAGTCAACTCTCCCGCGCATCCTCAGCTGCGCTCACGACTGACGCTCGGACGTCCCGCGGAACCTATAATAGATCCATGAGCGGAACCGCTCACTTCATCACCGCAGACTGGGAGATGAAAAGTCTGGCGCTGCAGACACGCCCCCTCTACGACAGTCACACAGTCACACAGCGCAGGTACTGACACAAGCAGCGGAGGAATGGAAGACAAAGGCCCAGTACTAATATCCCAGTCACAACTGATAATGCCAAAAATTAAATAAATGCAGTGAATGAGGCTGGGC